ATCTCTCTATGGCAAACACATGGTTTCTTCAGGATCCCATAATATGATTTTTATAATGGTAACAACAGGAAGACAAAATAGGAAGACAAAACAGAGATTTRTCTTAGCTTATGGTAAAATCACTTTCTTTTTCTCTCCTAAAGCATAAACATAGAGGAAAACTACCAAAATGGGGATGGAAGGAAAAAGTTAGGGGTTGATGCAAACTTTTTATTGTCGTTGCTGGCAGACTTTGATTTGTTTTTTCCTAACTCAGGATAGCCTAAGGGTTGTAATCACTTSCATCTTTACCTTTTCCCCTCATGTTCCCAAATTTTCAATTACAAACTTTGCACCTGCACAGAAAAATAACTCACAATGCTTTCAAGCATCCCTTTCAGCATAGATTCTCACAGGACTTGAGATGTCCAATTCCAAATGAAATCAATGAAATAACAGTCGTTAGACATCTGGGTGCATTTAGGTCTAGTCTAGCTTTCAGCTTCACCTCCRGAATTACAAATTCACAGCAACACATTGAACAATAAACATTTTTCACTGAGTTGGAGACTATCAATTTCAATAGCTTCAGAATAACATTTACGTTGACTCTGAAAACATTTCTTTTCCCTTGAAGATGATAGAAATTTCCTTTCCAAAGAAAGTCTTCAAGAACGTATTTTGTCCAGCTGTAATGCCATAACTTGGTTCTTACCCTCTTTAGTTTGAAACACTTGCCTCTGGTGGTCTGAACAGCAAGAAACAAAGTTCAGTCCCTCTGGATCAACTTGGCACTGTAGATGGCTACAGGTAGCCCAAGGAGGTGGCTTCCTCAAACSCTTTTAATGTTTTTATCAGGGTAGTCTCTGATTTTCCAGGTTGATTTTGTTGAAAGTAAATCTTTTTCTGATTTAACAAAAGTTAATTTGAAAACCCACAATGAAATGCCTACATATAGTAATAGTTTTGGCTCACTGGTGCGAGAGAAATGGAAAACATAATTTCCAACTGGTTATTGTTCCAACTTCTCATTGCAAAATTGTTCACAAGGGAAATAAAAAATAACTTTTTTTTTCCATAATTTTACCTTATTGTTTTGTTTATTCCTGAAAAAAAAAAATTATGCAACCTAATTTTTGTTAAAGCTGCAAATTAAAACTACAACATTTTAGAGTAGATGCTTCATAATTTTACACTTTTTTTACTTAGGAAATATTATTGTTAGTAGCTGTACAGATTTTTATGGATTAAAATCCCAATCCTAGCAGCTTTTACATCTTTTGAACTTTGCATCTTTGTGATTTTGGAYATAGAAATTATTAGCTAGTACACGAAGCAAATGTTGGGATCCACTCAAGGGAATCTAGGGCAAGGCAGGACAGCACCCAAGGAAGTAACGGAGTCCGCAGCTCAGCTTTATCACTTCTTCTTTGCCTTCCCGTGACACAGGCGTTGGCAGAACTTGCTGCCACTTGAGGCAGCAAAATGCAATTGCTGAGCTCTTTGCAGCTGCAGGGGGCATCCGTTCATCACATCCTAAACGAAGGCAGGTTCAAAATGCATCCCTAAACAAATCAAGTAGGTCAGTATTTTTTCAGTGCCCCATGTACAAAAAAAAATAAAAAAATCGGTTTCAGAGAAAACAGCAATAGCAACTAACGATAATAAAATAAATATTAATAGAAACTGAAAAAAAAATGGGAAATGAGTTGAATAAGATTCAGTAAAATGCACATAAGATAGTGAATGGTACGACGATGGCAGATCAGGATGTATTTTTTTTCTCCTTATTTTAATACAAAAACAAGGGAGGAATCAAGTGAATGCAAAAGACTGCCCAGACAAAATCATAAACAATGTTAAGAGTAACTTCGGAAGCAACATAAAATTCTCATGACTAATTCTGATTTATAGTAGGCAAAATTTGGGATGAAATCTAAGACAGAGTTCAAATTGATCCAAGACAACCTCCTACTGGAATTTTAATCCTTATTCTAACACACTCCATGTCTGAGTCAAAGACAGCATGCTGGACCTTGGATCATACACCATCTGGAAATGCCTATATAGGGCAGGAGAGAACCACGTCTGCATGGCTTCTCACACTGACTGCAGTGGCAGAAAGATAAAGATCACTAGCTTTAATGCAAAAAGAGCTTAGGGGGCTCTAGAGTGTGGACAAACGCTGATGCAGAGCTCCAGCCTGACTCAGAGCCTGCAGGGAGGATTAACAGTGACAAGGCCRGGTCACTGGGCTCACCCCAATGCCGTGTGAGCTGGCAGGGAAAATCCAGAAGCCAGAGAGATGCCTCAAGTCGAGACCTTCAGCTGCAGAGCCCTGGGGAGCTGCCAGCTCTCTGGCATGGGGACACTGAAGCTTCTTGCTGTACCACTCATGTGGATGCTTAGGATCGCTCTCTGTTAATTTAGCCCTCGGATTTGGAGTTGGTGCTACAGATGACACAAGCATGAGTATGTCACACTCAGGTGACATATCCAGGATGAGCTGGATATGTGATGGTGTGGCTCTCTAGACACTACTTGTATTGGTTAATTAAAACTGATTTGCAGTGAAGGAATTTGGGGTTAACCTATTAAGCTGGGATGAGCAGACATGTCAGAAATACGATAAAAGTGAACTGGCCAAACAACAGTGATGGAAACAAACTGTGAAAACGTATGCATTAATGCTGGAGAAACTAAAGGAGAAGAAAGGAGTTGCAGACTTTGTAGTCAGTGTGTGCCACACAGCTCTATTTCTAGTGATTCTTGAACAGGCTAAAGAGAAATTTGTATTCAGGGATCCAAGGACAGCAAAAAGAGCAGTAATGGGAAAGGATTTGTGTGAGAAGCTGCCACAGAATTTACTATCATGAAGAGGAGGGAAAAATCAGTGCAGAGTATGTGAAGAGGAATAGGTGCCATACACCTACCACAGAAACATTCAAGGAACCTATGGCATAAATTTTGGAATTTCTTRCTTCTCATGAGATGAAAAATTTGAAAATAAAACATAAATAAATAAAACRAAACAAAACTGTGACATCCTTGATGAGAATCATAAGTAATTGTTTACTTGGGTCACTGTCCCAGCAGAAATCAAGTAGGCTTAAAAAAAATAACAGATTTAATTAAAAAAAAGCCCTAAACTTCTAGGTATCACAACATTTAAAGCGCAGTATGAAACATTCATAATACTGCAGTCTTGTTTTGCAAGGTGGAATTATTACAAAATTGTGGCCGTGCTTTTGCCTGTTTCCAGGTAACTTAAATACACAGTTCCAGACATGTTGTGATCTCCGGCAAAATGCCCCGGATGTCCAAGGTGCCTGGCACGGAATGGGCACCTSGGACATCCGGGGCATTTTGCTGGAGATCTCAAGAGAAGCAGCCAAGTTTTAGCCACAGGGTCGCTGCGGCACTTGCTGTCCTAGGGCAGCTTGGCCCAARCGCAGATGGACTCAGGCCTAGGCCTGGAATGGGGCTGTGGGTGACGCTGTGAGGCGGTGGTGCCGGCGACACCCCTCTCGGGGACACCCATGTCGTGGGCAGCGGTGCTGGGGACACATCAATGTAGGGGACACCTGCATCATGGGCAGAGGTGGGGACACTCGTGTCGTGGGCTGCTGGCAACATCCCTGTCAGGGACGCCCGTGTTGTGGGCAGCGGTGCTGGGGACACCTGTGTTGTGGGCAGAGGCACTGGAGACCCCCAGGTCAGGGATACCTCGTGGAGACACTCATGTTGTGGGGAGTGGTACTGGGGACACTCAGGTCAGGGACACCCGTGTCAGGGACACCCATGCTGTGGGCGGCGCTGCTGGGGATACCCAGGTCATGGACACCTGCATCACGGCCAGAGGTGCTGGGGACACCCCTGTCAGGGACACCCATGTTGTGGGCAGAGGCACTGGGGACACGCAGGTCAGGGACACCCGTGTCAGGGACACCCATGTTGTGGGCAGAGGCACTGGGGACACCCAGGTCAGGGACACCTGTGTCGGGGACAGTCGTGTTCTGGAGAGTGGTGCAGGGGACACCTGCGTTGCATGTGGAGGTCCTGGGGACACCCATGTCAGGGACACCCATGTCAGGGACACCATGTTGTGCACAGCGGTGCTGGGGACACTCGTGTCAGGGACACCCGTGTCAGGGACACCCGTGTTGTTGGGGACACCGCGTTGCGCGCAGCGGTCGGGGCGGCCGGGCGCCTCGCCGTGTCCCTGCCGCGGGGCCTCGCTGACACGGGCGCTCTGCCCCGCGCCGCGGGGGCCGGTCCCGCCGCGGGGTGGCGGGCGGCGCTGCGGTCACGCGCGCGCTCCGTGTCACCCCGCGGGGGCGCCG